TCTATCATTTCTATTTCTGCCTCAGCCTTAATCACATCTACTTTAGCACCTACAAACCAACTCACAATTCAACCAAATATAATTAAACAAAAACACATTATATTGATAGTAAAATGGATCAATGAGATAAGTAATTTAAATCAAAATACTTTTTATATGTTCAATTTACTGCAACGCACTTCAAGGCATGGTTTAAGCTCCAAACAATTTCATAAACGGTGTGATAATAAAGGCCCAACATTAGTAATTATACGGGTCAAGGATACTGGAAAAATTCTTAGTGGATATACTCCAATTGATTGGTGTAAAACAACCAAAAAAACTTATCATAATGCTTTAACAAGCTTTATATTTTCTTTAAATCTCCAAAATTTAAATTATTCAATAGTTAGTGAAGTTATTAATAAAGAGCATACAATTAATCAAAATAAATACATATGTCCATCTTTTGGAATAAATGATTTAAAGATTTGTGGTGAATCAAAAGAAAATGAAAAAAGCAGATGTAGAATGAAGAGCTATGAAAGACAGATTCGGGAAAGCGAAGAATTTTTTTCTGTAGATGATTATGAGGTTTTTCAAGTTTTTAGAAAAAAACAATTGTAGTAATAGCTTTTAGAACTGTCTAAATTTTCTAATCTTTATAGTATTAAGTAGACGAAATATTTTCGTTACCCTTTTCAAGATCTATTAAATTTGTTTGAGAAATAATAATATTGCCCGAAAGAGGCTTGATATTTGTATTTTTCAGATAAAATTATATTTATTTAACAACTTAATAACTTTGTTCGAACGACATTATTAAATTCTAGAATTCAAAGAAAGTGTTCAAATAAAAAAAAATTCGATTTCAATTATATCGTTGATTTGAATTGAAATTTTTAATCACTAAAATTCAATTTAATATTTGATTCATGTATGCATTTGAAAGGGAAACACAATATATTTAATGTAAATAACATTTATATTTGCATGTATATAAATATGCATTGCTTAGAATTATAATTTAGACTGAAATTAAAATATTGTATAGTTTTGATAGAATAGTTATGTAATTTTGATCAGAATTAGCATTAAGCTCAAAGAATTAAACAGAGAAATTGAACTCAGTATATTCGGCGACCCCAAAATGTAAATCTCCAATGCACAATAATTTATAGATCTAAATGCGCATTCTTTATTTTCGTATTGATTTAATATATTTACATTAACGATTTTTTTTCTTATAATTCATGCATATTTCTTATTCAGAACACTTTTCTTCTATGCAATCGTCACATATGAGCCACGAGATTTGGATTTCTTTATTAGTGATTGGACCTGGGTGGAAGTGGGTGGGTCACCCAACGGGTGACCCATAAACAATAATTGTGACTTTAATCCAAATATGCATTTGTATGTATATTAACTGTCTTTTTTTCTTAAAAAAAAAAACTTTCAAAATGTGTTTTATATTAGACTAGACACTCATTCAATGAATCAGAGATAAAATTTTAAATGTTACCATTTTGATAAAATTTCTAACCGATCCAAATAAAATTACTATTTTATTTTTACAGCTGTTTTTATAAATTTTGGAACAACTGAAAAAATTGCCGATAAGTTACCGAGTCGGAATCAATAAGTAACCGACTTCTGAAGCTTATCGATTCGGTCATCAGCAATTTTTTCAGTTGTTCTGGAATTTATGAAAACAGCTGTGGTGCTTTATTTTCACCCAGGTGACTCATGAATCCGCCCGAAGGGTTGCTTTTTTAACCCACCCGGGTTCTACCCGGGTAGCTCATGGGTCCACCCGCGGGTGACCCGGGTGGCATTTTTTTTGACTATTTTTTATATTTTAAGTATTATATGTTGCCAAACTATAAGATGTACTTAAACTAGAGATGTGATCCGTTATTCATTTTCCTATTTAAAAATTACGGATATCCAGATTTTTTTATAATAATTTTATTATAGATTGAATTAACGGATATCCGGATCGTTAAGTATTTTTATTGGATGTTTCGATTTGAGCATCCGTATGTTTAGGATGGTATTTTAATTGACTATCATTATCTTGCTGGCGGGCTTGGAAAACTTGTAATTGCCCTTTTTAATTTGTGTTCTTTCTGACCACTTTTAAGATTACCCTTGTTTTAAAAAATCCATTTTCTTATCCTCCTAACGTCCACGTTGCGCAACTTGGATTTCACGTTGATTATAAATCAATATACTTTTTTTTATTTTTTTTTTAAATAACTTTAAAAATAATATATTAAATAAAACAATAGCATATAGTATCTAATAAGAGTGTATATAACTGTACATAATTATACAGATATAAATATAAAATATAATTTTTTAATAAGTTTGCACGTGCTAGTAATAAGGAAAGTTCCATGATTAGTAAATTCTACAACACACAAAACTATGTAATTAAAAAATTATATAAAGGGTTCAAAATCAAGTTACTATACGCTAACATTTTAAATAAGAAGGTTAGAATTTTCTTGATTGGCCAGTTTTATAACTCCAGTAAAATTTTCGGTTTTTATTTTAAAAAAATAATGTGGAATTATTCAATTATATTAATTTTCCTCTATGAACATCGCATGCTTCTCATGTAGAGATGTGGTTCGTTATCCGTTTTCCTATTTAAAAATTAC